TGAGGAAGACTGGCCCTGGGCTAACATCCGTGCCCATCTTCCTCCACTTTATATGGGACGCCGCCACAGCATGGCCTGACAAGTGGTGCATTGGTACACACCTGGGATCTGAACCCCAGGATGCCGCAGCGGAGCACGCGCACTTAACCACTAAGCCACGGGGCCGGCCCCATGGCTTTCCTTTCTTAATATTCAATTGTACCATCTCATATCCATTTTTAAAAGTCACTGGCCTTTCTTCTTAAAACCATTGTCCCTTGCTCATCAGCTGCTGTCTTTAGGAGCTCCAGTGTGGGAAGGGCAAACATGCTGGACACACTGTGAGTTGGCCTGCGTGGTAATCATTGAGATGAATTCTCTCTTCTGAGTCATTATTCTAAACCTGGTAGTCACCTCTATGCTTCCTTGGCCACTGGTCCCACTGTCCAGGTGGGATGCAGGTGTAGCCCTGGGCAGCCACTTGTAGGGGAGTGGACGATGGGTGGGGGCGGCCTGGTAGAATCCTCTGGGACAGAGTCAGTGGGTGAGTTCGTCATTCTGTGCCCCTGGCGGGGGTCCCCTCGGTGAGAGCATTAGGGCAGTGATGGGGCGATCCGTGACACAGGCAGAGATTGCACTGTGTGTGCAGGAGGCGTGTTCTGTTAGTCCATGTTGACAGTGTCCATAGTATCTTCTGGAAAACGTTAAAAACAAGCCATTATTATTATTATTTTTTAATGCTTTGTATATAGTAACTCTTTTTATTTATTTATTTATTTGTTTATTTTTCCCCCAAAGCCCCAGTAGATAGTTGTACGTCATAGCTGCACATCCTTCTAGTTGCTGGACGTGGGACGCGGCCTCAGCATGGCCAGAGAAGCGGTGCGTCGGTGCGCACCCGGGATCCGAACCTGGGCTGCCAGCAGCGGAGCGTGCGCACTTAACCACTAAGCCACGGGCCGGCCCCAAAACAATCCATTATTATTGATGAATGCCAAGTTCTTCGTCATCGTCCCCTGAGCTGCTGCTTTTCAACTGTTCTTTCTTTGCTCTAGTGTACACGGTTTTTGGATTTACCAGTGTGGTGAACCTCATCATAGCACTGGAACAGGACGGAATCATCGACGGGTTCATGACACACTACCTGAGAGAGGTATGGGGTTGCTTAGCGATGATGAGCCTTAACCCAAAGGGTCAGCTACCCCAGCTGTGTTGCCCAGAGATGAAATCCTTTCCGTTAGTGTGAGCAGGTGTCATACGTGGTGTTTCATTTCCTGCCGGACACACGGGCTGTTTACTCCCGGGGCAAGTGAAGCAGGAGGCCAGGATCAAGTCTCGGCGAGGCGATTCTCTTCAAGGGTCGGTCTTACAACTCCTCCCTCACACCTGACCCACTGCCTTTCTCCTTTGCTTGTATTTAATATAAATGAGATACTTTAAATGAATTTAGTATTTGAGTGTCTGTTTTTATTAAAACATCACTCTATCTGAAAGTCAGTCTCACATGTGGAAAGGACCAAACTCTGAGGCAGTTAATGGAGCCATTGGACTGTGATGACCCCCTGTCCCCATCACAGCGTTACAGAGCTACCCACACCTGAGAGAGTTAGTCCAATTTTCTTTTTTTCTTTTTTTTTGTGAGGAAGATCAGCCCTGAACTAACATCTGATGCCAGTCCTCCTCTTTTTGCTGAGGAAGACTGGCCCTGGGCTAACATCCGTGCCCATCTTCCTCCACTTTATACGGGACACCGCCACAGCATGGCCTGACAAGTGGTGCATTGGTACACACCTGGGATCTGAACCCCAGGATGCCGCAGCGGAGCACGCGCACTTAACCACTACGCCACCAGGCCGGCCCCACCGATTTTCTTAGTTTATGGTGTGAAGAATCCAGCAGCCCCAGAGAGGTTAAGTAACTTACTCAAGGTCACACTGGAAATTAGGAGCAGAGCTGAGAGTACAGTCTTCACCTGTGTTTCAAATCATGGGGAGCTTTGTATGCAAGCTAAGGGAGTTTGGATTTTATCCCATATGTGAGGGAAGATTTTAAGTCAGGGAACAATGTGGTCAGCCCTGGGAAGGAAGAGGTTGAAGGGAAGGGTCAATGCCATGAGCTGGGACACCAGTCAGGGCTAGTAAGGGCATGAAGATGGCCCAGACGGAGAAGAGCACAGGAAGTGGAGAGGGACACACTTCAGAGAATTCAAGTGGCTGGAATGAGCAGGACTTGGGTGAGTTGGGGGTGACGGGGAGAGGAAGGTCCAAGGTGACATCCTGCTTCCTGCTTTTGGAAGAATGCTGCTGTTATTAAACCCGAAAGGGATGAGAGGAGGAACGCAGGTCCATGGGCATGTGTTGAAGCAGACTCGGGCTCATAAGGCCTGCTTCCTCCCTCCGGGAGCTGTCAGGGAGATGGCACTGTCCTAGGTGCAGTGACAGAGACACCCTAGGCATGGAGTGCACAGAGGAAGAATTGACTCTGGGAGCAGTCAGGGGAGGCTCCATCGAGTTGGTGACAATGCTTTGGTATTTTTTAGAATGGCAATGGCAGTGGAGGATAAACATCTTCCAGGTAGACTAGGGAGGTGGAGGCCATTCCAAGGATAAGGGACAGCTTGGGCAAAAGCTTGGAGATGAGGAATAGCATGTGTCTCCCCACTGCCAACTGGGGTGCAGGTTTGCAGGCGTGATGCTGCGTTCATTTAGAGACGTGGAGTTTTGGATGGTTGAGGGACATCCTGGCAGATGTCCCAGCTGGCAGAGTTGTGCAGGTCTTGAGCTCTGAGGAACATTCCTGGCAGAGAGATTCGGGGGCCATCTGAGTATAGTTGGTACCTGAAGGTCTAAGAGGAGAGGAGCTTGCCCAGGAGAAGGTGGAGAGAGAAGAGGGCTGAGGCGAGAACTTTGGAGACTGTGGCCAGAAGAAGAGGAGCCTCTGAAGTGGGCCATGAGAGGCAGGCAAAGAGGCAGAAGGAAAACCCTGGGAGCATGGGTCCACTGAGGCCAGAGGAGCCAGGTTTCAGGGAGGAGGTGGCTGCCAAGAGGGCCTGGAGGCCGAGCTGGTGGCGTGACAAGCAGTGAGGCAGACAGGATAGGAGAAGGGGACTGGGGTGGAACCATGAGAAGGTCTGCAGGGCCAGGCTCTGGGGACCTGGCTGCCAGACAGAGGAGGTGGGGGTTGGGCCTGCAGGCAGCAACAAGCTTTGGGCGGTTTTTGAGCAGAAGAGTGACCTGTTAAGAGCCAGGCCCCGTGAATCTTCCTTTGGCAGTGGGAGAGTGGTGGATCGGAAGGAGATGAGAGAGGTAAAGAGACTGTTTGGGAATGGTTCAGTGGGGGCACTGACGGCTTGAACTAGGCTGCGACGAAGAAGGAGGATTGCCTGGGGTGATGTTATGGAGATAAAATTGATAGGACTTGCCAAGAGACCGCATAGGAGAAAGGAATAAAAAAAGACCCTGTGGTTTTTGACCTGGGTCAGTTGAGTGGCATCACCATTAATATAGAGAGGCCAGGTGGGGCTCGGGTGAGGGGAGAAGCTGATGAGTTAAAGGAATTCAGGTGAGTTTGCAGGACCCATGGGCCATCTGGGTAAAGATGCCCATTAAGGCACCAGGAGAGGCCAGCCCTGGCTCCAAGAGCCAGGTGTGTAGCGTGAATGATTAAAACCATGAAACTGGATGGTATTGTCCAGTCGAAGCCAGAGAGAAATGTCAGAGAGAAAACATGTGGGCCAGGCATGGGCAGAAGGACACCTTTTGTCTTGTTTCTTCCTCCTCCATGATTTTCATTTGATCTGATTTGTGGGGAGAGATGTCAGAGCAGTCCTTGCCTCAGGGGAGTGCAAAGCTTCAGAGAATGCCCCTCTTGCTTGTTGATTGATGGGCTGGTTGATCTGCACTGTTCCTTGTTGTGGAAAGGACTTCAGGCATCTTAGGAAGACATGTGAAACCAGGCAGGAGAGCACGAAGTGGGAGGAAGAAGAAAGGAAAACGGAGTGGAGCCAGAATGACACTAAAACCCCATGCAAATCGGACAGTGATGTCTAGTCGCCACCTGGACAAGGGAAATGTAGTTCATCATATCACCTTCTGTTCATAAGATTAAAAATTTTGCAGGAGAAGTACGGCTCTTCTTGAAAAGAAGCAGAGCTAGATACTAGCTATGTGACCTTAGGCAAGTCTCGTAACCTCTTGGAGCCTCTGTTTCTTCATCTGTAAAATGGAGTCAGTCACGTCCGTCCTGTAGGGCTGTTGGGAAGGTTGAACGAGGGGTGGGTGTGGAGCTCTGAGTGCAGTGCCCGCCTGCCTGTGTGTGTGTGGGCTGGGGGGTGTGGGCAAGGACGGCCTTGCTCACACTCATCCCCATGAGCCTCAGCGTCAGCATGAACTATGAGGGTCACCTAGAGGCTCTGGTGAGCAGGGTCTTCTCTGGCCACTCACTCTGGCCAGAGCCAAGCACCAGCAGTCACACATTTGACTTGGCCTCAGTGAGTTCAGGACTGCCCAGGGCGCCATATGCTCTGTAGCACTGCACACACCTGTGTTGACCCAGCATATTAGGGAACGGCCAGACCTTCTCTCGTTCCATCCCCTGTGGCAGACTCTAGTTTTGGCAGTTCCAGGGTAAATTTATATTTTCATGTTCCTACCAATTTTGTAATTTTAGAAGCTTAAGGATAGTTTCATTTAGCAGCCTAACAATTTAGTTCTGCTATTTTATTTTACTTGCAATACGTCTGGTATTCAGCATTGAAATGTTTGAGTCATTTTTACAGTGGACTTCTTTTTAATGTTTTCTTTAGGGTGAACCGTATCTGAACACTGCATATGGGCACATGATCTGCTACTGGGATGGCTCTGCTCACTACCTGATGTATCTGGTGATGGTGGCAGCCATAGCATGGGAGTAAGTCAGTTTGCCTGGTGTGTGTGTGCTTCTGCCACCTCAGCAACCGATAAGTGAGTATGTAAGGAAAACACATATAGAGGCAAATACACCAACAGGTTACATGGACATGAATGTATGCTCGATGGAGACAAGTTAGAATGGCTTTATTGTCCTTGCCTTAACTTTCTGATTATGTTCAACACATTCTAATTCAAAACTTCAATTTCATTTCAGTTCAAAGCTCTCTTTTCCCCCAGTTCAGGCATAGCCCTGAGGCTTAGGGGCCTGCAGTGAGGCAGGGATGTCTGGTCTATCCTTCTATTCCTTCTCAACTCACTCTGTAGCTGGCCCCTCTGGGAACGTGTGTGTACGTACATGGGGTTAAAGGAAGAGGGGCAGAGTCTCACATGACAGTTGCTGTCTTCTGGGTACTGGTTCCTGTTATTATGCTACGCTAGGTCTGTCTCGTAGGGCACATGTGTGGGTTCTTTGGAGACTCGTACCCATAGGAACCTTTGCATTGCCCCAATCCCTGAACTGAGCAATGCTCTCTCTGGCTGAATTTGTGTGACTTCCCTGCCCATGGTGGTACACCCACAGCTTCTTTCTGCTGGGGTCCCTGTAACCCGGAAGGCAGGATCCTTTCAAGACTCCTCAAGCCCAGCTACCTTCTTAGGCCTCCCCTTGGCTCCAAGTTAGAGAAAGTCATGCATTCTTGCCCCATACAAGGTTGAAATTCAGCTTGACCAACTGCCTGCCCCCTGCCCTCCCCCCAACCCCTAAATCATGAACTCAAGGACAGCTCCAGCTAATTTTTGGACTTTTTAGGCACCAGCCCCTCTCTTCATGAATGTTCCCAAGCTCTAGGGAACCCGTCAGGTGTTTTTGAGAATGCTGGAGCTCTGCTTGGGGGCTGCCAGGAGTGGGCCTGAGTTTCCATGGCTCTGTTAGCATCCAGCTGGGGAAGAAGACTCTTGTCTGTCCTCCTGCTGACAGTCCCAGCCATTGTGAATGGGCCTCCTGGGATCTGCTGCGTCTGGCTCATTGGGTGGGGCAGGGCAGGAAGCACACAGTGTTCCCCACTTCTGTTTCCCTTCAGAGAATCTCCTTTTGAATTTCTCGTAGCCCCGTACAGAGGTGGGTTATTGGGGTTATCAGTTGAAAGAACTTTTTGTCAACATCGTCTGTTTAGAAGATTAGGGGTGTATGTCTAGCAGCTCCTTCGGAACATGAGGGATGTGTCACTTATTATCTTCATCTTTGGAGCTTTGGCCAAAGTTCTGTGACACCAGAGAAAGTCCATGTAACATCCTATTACTCGTACTTAGAATGATTTAAAATATGGATCCAGTTTCTTTTCGTCTTTGAACCTTCTTTTTCCTTTCATGCTGTGAGTTTCACACAGAACAGGGAGGTGTGGGACTCTGACAGTGATGAGCATGCTGTAGTTTAGCAGAAGATCAGCGTAGCAACATAATTCCTATTCAAAAGGAACATCGAGGGCTCTGTAGTATATCACATATGGAAATGAAGTCTGATCAGTAGGGTTCCTTGTGTTTGTTATTCTCGTTCAGTACGTTTCAATTTATGTACTTTACTAGTTAGAATAAAGATAATATTGTGGACCATCTTTTGCTAACAGTATTCTAAGACCAGTGCATTAAGCCAAGATTTTTTCATTACAGGGAAAGTTACAGAACCATTGGCTTATATTGGGTTGGATCTATTATTATGAGCGTTGTTGTTTTTGTGCCTGGAAACATTGTAGGTAAGAAACTTTATCTTAAAATTTACTTTCCTTTTCTGGAACAGTGGGGATTGTTTTTAAATAGAGAAGCTATTTTGGTTGTGATAGAAACAAGAAATTCCAAGCTTACCAAAAAGCTGTTTTGCAGAATTATTCCTTTTCACCTTCTTAAGCTCACTTTTTAAGAAATGCTTTCGAGCAGTTTTCAGAAGTGTACATTGAACAAGTAGACAACATAATATCAGTGATTCCTGACTTTTAGAAGGATCTAGAGGGGGCAAGTATTGTGTTTGTGGCTACCTTCAGTGTGCAAATATTTCTTACAACTTATATTTAACTCTTGACACACTATGGGGAACTCGATAAATGTACTTGAAAATTAAGACTCTTGAAAGCTAATGTAAAAAGAGGTTATTTATGCAAGCAAGAAATCAGGATATTATATTAAATATACTTTTAAAATACTGTAGATAGGATATGCCTGTTAATAAACACCTAATAGTTTTAAATTGACTTTTTTTTTTTTTTTTTTGGTCTCATTACAAGGTATTGTCTGGTCCACAGCAAAATTTTAGATGACTTGAGATGGGGAGCTATCTTAAATGTTATTTGTGTTTCGATATACTTTTGGTAAACTTTTGACTTTCTCTTTCTCTCTCTCTTTTAAATAGGAAAGTACGGAACACGCATTTGCCCTGCTCTTTTCTTAAGCATACCATATACTTGTCTTCCTGTCTGGGCTGGTTTCAGAATCTATAATCAGCCATCAGAAAATTATAATTATCCTTCAAAGGTGATTTTATTAAGTTAAATGTAACCTGTTCTGAAACTCACAGGGCTCACTCACACCCACTGGCTATTGGACTGAACCGTGCCTTCATGGACTGGAGCATTTGGGGCATTCAACCGTGTGACTGTGTTGATTCTGCAGCACTGGTTCACACGGTAGTTACCATGGCCAAGAAGATCTGTTTCTGTCTGAAAATGTCTGCTTTGATTGGCCAGGCCATACATTTTGGAACTTCTTGTGCCAGTGGTCATATTGGCTCTTTCCATCAGATCTTGCATTAGTGCGCTAGTGTGTGGTTTGTCTCGGGCTATTAATGGCCTGGAGTTTGAGCACCTGGGCACCTCTTTCAGCGATACTTGTACATTTATTGCCCCAAGGGGAGGCTGGAGAGATACTGTTGTTCAGGTAGCACACAGAGCCATAGGGTCTGATTATCAACAGATCCAGGCACATGGAAACTGGCTACAGGACGTCTTCTGAGACAGCTCCTGTCCATTCACAGCCAAGGTGGTCAGGGTAAAACAATACTGGCTGGGCAGGTACTCTGTTAAGGCCTTCATTTCTAAGCTAGTGACATCTTTCTAGGTTTCTCTTCCTTTTATAGGTATTAAATGATCCTTAAGATCCTTTACGCAGGGCCGGCCCTGTGGCTTGGTGGTTAAGTGCGCACGCTGCGATGCTGGTGGCCCGGGTTCGGATCCCGGGTGCGCATCGAGGCACCACTTCTCCGTTCATCCTGAGGCTGAGTCCCGCATACAGCAACTAGAAGGATGTGCAGCTACGACATACAGCTATCTACTGGGGCTTTGGGGGGAAAAAATAAAATAAATAAAATCTTTAAAAAAAAAAAAAAGATCCTTTACGCAAAACTGATATGTGAAAATATGAATTACTAGAGATAATCAAAACATTATTCATTTTACAAAAAGATTTACAATAGAATTCATTAAAATACATTTTAATTTATAAACACTTGATTTGTAAACATTAGACACCTGCTATGTAAACTCAGGTTGGCACAATGACAACTGGTACTCCCTTACATCCTTTTGAGGAATGAGGTGGTTGTTAAAAAAAAGCAAACAGTCACCATAGCCTTGGTGCTCACTCCACTGCCTTTGAAGGCTCCATAAGAGTGTGTCAGCAGAGTGTTCCTGTCATGAGACACACAGAACTGTTTATTAGTATTTTTTTTTCCGAGGAAGATTGGTCCTGAGCTAACATCTGTGCCCATCTTCCTCTATTCTTTTGTATGTGGGACACCGCCTCAGCGTGGCTTGATGAGTGGTGTGTAGGTCCACACCTGGGATCCAAACCTGCAAACTCGGCCGCTATAGTGGAGTGTGTGAACCCAACCACTACGCCACCAGGCTGGCCCTATTACTATTTTTTTAAAATGCTAAAACACAGTGATGGCCAGGGAGAAATAGACATTATCGCATAGTGCTGACAGGAACATAAATTCAGAATCGCTTTGCAGAGCAATTTGGCAATGACATCAACCTCAACAAATTTAACCCTTTAACGTAGTATTCTCTTAACATTCTAGGGCCTTATCCTAAGAAAACCATGAGAGAGATGCTGTCAAAGATTTATGTACAAAGTTGCTCATCATCACATTGAATGTAATAGTGAAAGTACATAAATGTCCAACAATGGGAAAATAGTTAAAATATGGTGCTTCCATATGATATTAAGTATTAGAATTCTTAATAATGTGGAAAACTGCTTATAATATACGTAGATGTTGAGTGTCAAAAGAACAAATACAAAATTGTTTATACATTAAGTCCTAATTTTGTGAAAAATAAATGTAGATTATCTATATATAGTTATATATCCATCCAGAAAAATATAGCAACTATTAATAGTAGTGTGATGGGCTTATGGTTTACTTTATTTTTAAAATGAGTGTGTCTTACATTTATAATCACAAAATTTTTGCTATTTCAAGAAAAAAATATGGACTCATAGAGCTAAAAGGGCCCTTCAGGATCACCTGGCCCAATCTCCTCCTTCCACAGGTCAGGAAGCTGAGATGTGAGGGGGAAATGATTTTGCTAAAGTTCCATGGCTGGTGGTTTATGAGATGCGTTGTGAATCTGCAAAAATCCTCTCATTACCCGTCATCATGGCATTTACGTCTCAGTAGATCTCAGGTTCCTCCTTGGCGCTTTGAGCCTGCTCATTACTTACAAACTCTGTTTCAGGTTGTACAAGAAGTCCAAGCGAAGGACCTGCTGAGAAGACCGTTTGATTTAATGTTGGTTGTGTGTCTCCTCCTGGCAACTGGTTTTTGCCTGTTTAGAGGCTTGGTAAGCATAACAGATCAAAATAACATAAAGAACTCTCTCTCTCTTAATCAGACTTCTAGCATGCTCACAAAATATTCCTCCTGTTAGAGCCTAGAGGCTAGACCTGCTTCCTGCCTCTCCCACCCAGGTCAACCCCAAACCTCCCCTCCCAAAGGGCGGTCCATTCTGGGCAACTTCATACCACCTCCTTCAGGTGCTTAGGTCAAGCTCTACTCAGAAGTATCTTCCTTCTCCCATTTTAGGGCACCTGAAAATTACCCATTAGTCTCATTCTTTTGGTTCCTTTGATGTTTCTGATTTAAATTTAAATATCTTTGGTAAGGGTGATAACTTAATACTCCAATAAAACTGTGGCACAGAGCATCCATGTATTCTCAGTAGGCGGATGGGACTGAGGAAGGGGTACCAGAGTAAGGAGTTAGAATCCTGGCCATTACTAGCCGTGTCGCCTTGGAAAAATTATTTAACCTCTTTGACCCTCAGTTTCTTCCTCTATAAAACAGTAGTACTTACCTTATAGTATTGTTTTGAAGATTAAATAAGATAATGAAGATTAAACACTTGTACAATGACTTATACATATTAAGTGCTCAATAAATGTTTGATGTTACTATTTTTATTGATCAATGATCCTTCACGATGCCCCAGTTTCGTGATTTATTCTTAGCAGAAATAAACTTGAGCAGCCGGAATTACATGGTTAATTATATTCAGCTTCAATGACAATTCCTAACTGTTCTAAGCCTACTGGTGTTGCACAACAGTTGGGGAGCGGAGGGGCAAGTGTAAGCTGATGTAGCTGACTCACTGTTTTGGGGTCCAGCGCGGCTGGCTGGGTTCACGGTGAAAAGCTGTTGTAAGAGTTGTGTCTGTCTGTGGATTGTCAGAAACTTCCTGGAGGAGAGTTGGCTAGTAGGCAGAGTGGCACAGGGAAGGGAAGTGGAGAAAGCAGGGCCATAGGCTTTGCTCAGACCACAGAGCAGTGAAACTGTTCTTTGCTTAGTTTACTATAATTCCCAAAGTTAAAAGAACAACAAAAATGAGCCCCAACTGTGTTCTTGCATAGCCATATGCACTCCTGTGCACATGAGAAAAACGTGTGCGTGTGGGGTGTGCACACCTGGTGGGTGGGACTTTTGCAGATGGGCTTTTAGGTTGGGGGCCATTTTTACCAACTCTGCCACTGGCCTGTGTCATATGTTATCTAGGTGGGAGGACATTTATGGCCAAGGATAGGACGAATGATGCCTGAGGGAGGTGACTCAGAGGGGATCCAGTAATGTGCCAAAGAGACATTTGTCTCTTCTGTGGCCTAGAGTCGACTCTGCCGTGATTCAGTCTGCTCTGCTCTCTTTCAAAGTGGACGCAGGAGGTGGCTTCAGACAAGAGGACTCTGCTCTCAAATCATTATCCTTTACTGCCCCCAAAGGCCATATTCTCTGTGAGGCACTGGAGAGAGGAGGATGCTATTTTTGAATCTTGGGAAGCATAGTAAGATGAATTTGGCATAGAAATGTACTTTTCTTCCTGCAGGAATAGTTGCCTAGTTATTCCCAGGAAAAGCGAAATTCATAATCTAAAGCTAGCTGTGCTTTGGCTAGCAAAACCTAGAGACTTAAAACCGAATACTCAAAAGGTACCCAAGAATAGGGCATTCGCTTCCATTTCCTGCTCCAATATTAACCTCTGCTTAAACTCCTTAGAGTAAATCTGCAGAATGTTTCTTTTCTTTCGCTTTTACAATACAGAGTTTTGGTTAAAATAGCAAAGCAGCTTGTGACTAAACCTGGCACATTTAGCCTTATCAGCAAACATAAGAGCCAGATGTGATTGTATCTTTATAATGAATTCATTTTTGTTCTCAGATTGCTTTGGATTGCCCAGCTGAGCTCTGCCGACTTTATATACAATTTCAAGAGCCCTACCTAAAGGATCCTGCTGCTTATCCTAAAATCCAGGTCAAGTAGTTATGAAGCCTAAGATTTTTATAAAACTAATTTTCTCTCTTTAAGAATGGGAAATGTGGTCTCATGTAGGAAATAGGAATTAACATTTTTAAAGATGAAAATGCTAATTTTCTGTGTTTTTCATCAGGCCGGGTTAACTGTTAATTTGCTGATGATGTTATTTCTCTGTTCAATACAGATGCTGGCGTATCTGTTCTATTCTGTCCCTTACTTTGTGATTGCACTGTATGGCTTAGTGGTTCCCGGATGCTCCTGGATGCCTGACATAACCCTGATACATGCTGGAGGTCTAGCTCAGGTACTAAGAACGTGCTCTATTAAGAAAGTTTACTGGCTGTCCTTGTTGAGTATCTGAAAAACATCTCTGCTTAGTGTTTTAGGGTAGGAAATAGTTATTAGACATGTCGTCCCCTTTTGTTTTACAGTTCTTTAGAAGACATTTCTGCACATACATTTTATCTAAATCTCACAATAACTATCTGGTAGGTGCACCATCCAGTTATACAGATGAGGAAACTGAGGCCCAGTGAGGTTAAATGATTTGTCCAAGGTCACATACAGCAAGTGGCACTGCTGTTTTATAATTTATTTATTTTTTCCTCCAAAGCCCCAGTAGATAGTTGTATGTCATAGTTGCACATTCTTCTAGTTGCTGTATGTGGGACGCGGTCTCAGCATGGCTGGAGAAGCGGTGTGTCGGTGCGAACCCGGGATCCGAACCCGGGCCGCCAGCAGTGGAGCGCACGCACTTAACCGCTAAGCCATGGGGCCGGCCCCGGCACTGCTGTTTTATAGTATTGTTTCCCAGTTCTGAACACCACAGCTCCTAAAAAAGAACTGAGAGCTGTTATCTTTAAGATGTCTATCTAACTTGAACATTTCAGAATTCCACTATACTATGCTATACAGAACCAGGGAAACTGGTTTTAAAACAGTTCTGCTCCTGGGAGGCAGGGCTTGTCATTCCATCCCCCAACCCCTGCTACTTGGCCATGTCCCTGGTCTAGAGCAGGTGTTCAGTGAACGCTTCCTTCATTGAACTGGAAATGATATTACCTGTGGAGCTGTATTATCAGACAAAGTACATTTTTTACAAGGTAACATCTAGCAAAACAAATTGATCTTATGAACAAGGAAGAAAATTAAGTAGTTTTATCTGTTTTTTTTCCCCTTACTGTAAATAAAAAAACCAAATGAACTCATCTTTTAAAATCATTATCTTCATCTTGCTCTTTTCAAGCAGGCATAAGCATGAAGTTCATCCAGAAACCCTAGGCATGTACGGTTAGTTATACTCATGGTACAGCAACCGTGATGGCAAAAAGACACAAGAATTTAGAGAGTTGAAAAATAGTTACAGCATTTATGGGTTAATACATTGGGCTAAATCCTTCCAGTCTGAGGTACTTCCTTAATTACAGAATTAGAATATTAATATAAAAAAAGTTGACGTAGCATCCAGAAGTAATGGTTTCTGTCCTTCCCTTGAAGGACTTACGAGGGAAGAGAACTAACATTTACCCTCTTTGCAGACCTCTGAATACTGATTCCTGAGGCCTTGGTTTTGGGTCTTTATTTCCATAACTTTCAATATCAGCTATAAGCTGATAACTTCCAATTTTCTATCTTTAGCCCAAACTGTTCCCAGACTCCTATATTTAATTCTAAACTCAGTCTTTTCACTGGGATGTCTCACTAGCATCTCGGATTTAATGTCTAAACTAGGGCTCTCGATCCTCCCCACTTCTCTTCCATTTTCTCTCATCTCTGTAAATAGCCCTTCCTTGCATCCAGCAGCTCAAGTCAAAAACTTGGAGTAATTCCTTACACTTCCCATTCCCTCGCCTTATACATCTAGCCCATCGCTAGATCCAGTTAGTTCTGTCTCCAGAGTAATTCTCAAATCCACCAATTTCTTTCCAGCTCCACTGCCACTACACTAGTCTGAGCTCTTGTTACCTTACTTCATGGGAGGCAAACCACGCTGTGTTTTACTTACCTATTTGTAAAGGATAGGCTATGTGCTCTGCTGGAGTAGCAAATATTCAGTGGTTTAATACAATAAAGTTTATTTCTTGCTTGTGCAAAGAGCATGTGGGATATTTTCAAGAGCCAGGCCTGGCAGCAACCTGACTGCAAGGGAGGCTGATAAACGTGGTCTTCCTGCATGCCTCAGAAGAAAGTGCATGAACACATAGCATTATCTCTGCAAGTTTTTTTAAAAGCCCCACTTAAAGATAAGAAAGCTGAGGCTCAGAGCAGCTTGTTACTTGCCTAAGGTCACAAAGCTACTAAATGGCAGAACAGGGATATGACATCCTGTCTGACCCCAAAGCCCATATTCTTCTGCACTGTTATCCCTCTCCCCATGCAAACAGTTAGCTACAGCACAAAGTAAGACTTTGTACGTGGCAGGGAGGGTGGGAGGCAGTGACATCTGAGCTGGGTCTGTGGGCTGAGTGGGCTTTATTAGACCGAGGAAGCGTTTAGGTATGGAGCATGCAGCAGGTCAGAGGGGACCGAGTAAGCCTTGGCTTTGTTTCCTTGGCCTGGTTCCCCTGCCTTATTCGCCTGTCTCTCAGGACAGAGGGCCTTCCACTCACCCCACTCTTACCGGTCTGTCTTTAAAGAATTCAACTGCTCAGAGTTTGACAGCTGCTCATTACCTGTGTGCTTTGCCTGCACAGTTGGGCTTCCTCTGCATGCCATGTGCCATGGTCTGCCCTGCACCCAACCCCGATGCAGGAACACTGAGTGTCATCAGCTAGGAGGCTGGCAAGAGTGAGGCCAGGTGTTGGACCTGGCCAAGTCTCAGGAGACAACTGGAGAACTAGGCAGGAAACCCTAGGCACAGGCCTGGTCATGTAGACAGGGTCAGAGAGGAGGCTTGGGAAGGTTTGCTTGGGGGCAAACGGGTGCTCGAACCTGTAGCAGTAAGACTGACCCCAGTGTACCTGCTGGGGAAGCTAAGCTTGCAGACGGGCACCTGTGACTCCAGCCAGGCGGCTCTGGGAAGGGCAGTGTGGCCAGCAGAGCAACTGGCAGCAGCAGTGGCAGCTCCAGCCAGACCCCAGGCCTTGCAGGAATCCTTGGGCTTCTCCATCACTGCCCAATTTGACAAGGTAGCCTGAGGCTAATGACTAGATCCTGTACATGTCAGAAGGCTGTTTCTCCCAATCCAGCAGAAGAATGGTGTAATCCGAGTATTATGTCACTGGCATTCCCATTGCTCTTGGCTGGGCTTTAATATCTACCTATTGGGAGTGTTTAGCCTAAGGAAGTTACAAATCATATTGCAGCAGAACTGCATATGATAAGAAGGTTGAATTTGTCACGTGATTTGTTTTCTACTTAGTGAACACTTGCTTATTGGTGAAGCTTGTCGCAGGAGGGTGTCTGGCCCAATCACAGAAAGCGCCCTCCAGAAGCCTGACCGGCACCCCCAGCTTGCCCAAACTGTCAGTCCTAATTTAGGAGCTCGATGCATTCAGGATCCCACTAACTTTATCAACACCTGCATTTACTGAAAAACCTAGTGAACCCCCAAGTCTATGTGATTTAATAGGAAAAAAAATCTTAAAAAAACTTCTAGATCAGTACAAGTCAATGGAAAACATGTTAAGTAGTTTTCGGGTCCTGATTTCAGACCATGTAAGAGTCTGTCAAATCTGCTGCCTTCAGAAATCAAAAGATCAATCATAAAGTAAAAATAAAATCAGGGCACATTTTACACCAAAGGGTTCCACTGGGGACTTAGTCATAAGTCCAAGTGGACTTTTCATATAAAGTCCTTATCATAGGATTAAAGTTGCAAGTCTAGTGTGAAAAGTATTACAGGCTGCTTAGATCCACTTATTACCATTTTCTATCAATTGAAGAATTCTTCTCTCATTGAAAATTAAAGAAAAAACCCAGAGCCAGTATAGTCTACATGGCTAAGACTCTCATTGAAAATTAAAGAAAAA